ACATACGTTAAGACGTTTATAATGCAGTAAATGAGGAAAGGGAAGCGGTACACATATTTACTTTAATTACAGAAACCTTCTGAAACAGGTATTAATTTGTAAATAACTGGAGATTAATGACCACTGCTTATGAAATATTATACTGCAGTATATTTCTACCTAGGAATATAGAAGACATTGTGAGGTCAACCTGAAACGTAAAAGTGAGGTCAGAGGTCAAATCTGACATGACATTTGGACACAAACTATAATGTGATGTTTAGAATCCCCATATAACAATATCATTTTATAAATATTACCACTACAAATAAAGGACGTGGATAAAAGACATTTTATGAAAATTTGACCTTATTTGACCTTGAAGAAGAGGCCAGAGGTCCAAAGTAAGTGATATTTAGAATCCTCATATATTGTTCCCTCTATGCCTAAATGCAAAAAATGGCAGTAAGCTCTGTTTAGCATTGTTATCAATTTTACCTTCAGATCAATCTTTTGATCTTTAAGGAGAGATCAGAGGTCAAATAAGAATTGCTATTTTAAATCTTTATTGTATGTTGACAACATACACCCCATTTGTAAGAATCATACTGTCTAGGTTATAAGGCTTTGTCAGTTTTCAACCAATAAATCATGAAGTTGACCTTCAAAATTTTAATTGTCCATCAACGTGAGCCCACTGTACACACCTACAAAGTTTTATCAGAATTTGATTTGCAGACAGAAGGAATAACACACACACAGACACATTAACATAAAATCAAATTTTTTATTTTTTAAAATCACACTGTCCATACACTACTATTTTGAACTCTAGTCTCTAGTGAAATAAATAAATACATTGTACTGTTCAGTTTGTACTGCTGCTCATTCCTGTGCAACATCCCATCTGCCCCCCCCCCCCCCCCTCACATTCCTGTTTGAGATTTTCTTTATTTAATCAGTAGTGTGTACATAGATTTATATATACATATATATATTTAGTCAGTTAACTGGAAATCTCTCTTTTTTTCTTTTACTACATCTTGTTAATATTTTGCTCTTGATTTTTCTATTTATTTTTTATTATTTTATCTTTTTTCTTCTACTGTACCATTCTGCTGAGTGACTGTCTTCTGCTCGTCAACTACATTTCATTGCAATGTTGACCCTGTGCTAACTTGCATATGACAAATAAAACTGAAAACTGAATAAATAATAAAAAAAAATTAATAATCTAAGCATATGCATGCAGCAGTGTTGTGTTGTGTAATGTTGTGTAGTGATGTCTTGATAAAAAAAGGTTTTCTTTGTAAAGTATTTTAAGATATCAGCTTCCTAAAATTCTGCCACCACCACAATACACAGAGTTGGCGCGGGGCTTGCTTTTGTAAAACATCAGCAGCAATGGTTCTTCCCAGAAACAAAATCCTGGTTACACTGGCTAATCCACAGACCTCACTGGACAACCTGCAATGGGACTATTTCTTCAGTAGAAAGTAGTTCCAATGAAAACTGTTCACAGTGAGGTCTGTGGATTATCCTGAGCAACCAAGACATTCTTTCTAGAAATAGATGTTCCACTTAAGTTTTTCAATTGTAATTTTTCAACACTTTAAGCACCGCAAGCAGAATTCCAGTCACCTCCATTGTATCGGGGGTGGTGATGGAAAACTCGCTGGATATTTCAAAACTTCAGTACATAAAACCAAAACTATCTGCATCGTTTGCTGTAAGTAAGATGTTTTTAGTGTTAGTTTGTGTGTGTGTGTATGTGTGCGTGTGTTACTGAAATACTGACCGTTTAAATTATTTGTACCTAATGCGTCAAGTTGTAACTGGCTGCATTTGGCCAAAGATACAACAAAAAATGATTTACGGATCCAGGAGAGAAGTCTGACACTGTGCAGTCTGGTTTTGATAACACCCTTCATGCTCCTGTTAGACTTTACTTTTGGGGCGTTGTGGTGTGAAGTCTTTACTAACTGTCATAAAACATTTCCTATGGTGAGGAATGAGAGGTATATTTCAGGGTGCTGCTAAACCTCAGACTGACCTGGGAAAAGCATGCTAGTCGTGGAACTCAGTCATGTAAAGATCAGCTAAAAATGTTTGAACACATGTATTCAAATAGACATACACAGGAATGTGTGCATGCAATGTGCAAACGGACACTCCTATTCTTACTTTGTATCCCTCCTCCCGCACTCTCTTTCTCACACATGCACACACGCACATAATATGCACTCACAAACAATGTCAAACCACTACTGAGTCACTTTGCTTCCTGAGGGAAAAATTGGCTCCACAAGGAGGGCAGTGAAGGCACTCCTCGCCTGTTGGCCGATAGCGCTGACAGCAGCACATGTCTTGTGTGTTCCCATACCCTGTGCTCCACTCTGCTCACACGGCATTCGCGCCATCAAAATGTGAAGTACTTTACAAAGAAAAAATAGGCAGATGGTAAGATTTTTTTCTCCATCATGCAACAACATCCTGATTTGGATCAGATTCTTTCTGCAGCAGAACATCACATTTTCAGTATTTAAAATATTTTCACAGTACTATGTACTGGGCGGCATGTACAGTGGTTAGCATTGTCGCCTTACAGCAAGAGAACATTCTGGGTTTGGCTTTGGGCCTTTCCCTGTGGAGGTTGCATGATCTCCTTGTGACTATGTGGGGGTTTTTTCCCAGACATCCAAAGACATCCATGCAAGGTTAACTGTTTGTTTTAAACTGGTCTAAATGTTCATATTGCATTAGTCACAACATTAACCCGTCCAGGGTGTAGCGTTCATCTCAACCAATGACCCTAGGCATGGATACACTGCTCTCCCAAGCCTGGTTATATAAGCGTACAAGAAAATGTATGGGTCATATATTATACACATGTTCCTGGCTATTAATTTACTAGTTGATAAAATGGGAGCAAAAAAAAATCTGATTAGGGACTAATCTAGAAGTCATAAAAAACATGAAACAATCAACATCTGATGCTATTTATTCTAAAGTACACATTGTATGTGTAGTTAAGAACCATTTGAGTCTTTAATAATTAAATCATATTTGACATGTTGGGCAGCACCATGGTGTGGTGGCAGTGGTGCTGGCTCACTGCAAAATGTTTCTGGGTTCAAGTCCACCATCTGGCCAGGGACTTTCTGTGTGGCGTTTGCGTGTTCTCCCCTTGCGGGAGGCGGGGTAAAGCCTGGGACAGGTCATCTATAAATCAGCCAGGGCTCTAACATTTGAAAGCGTATGTAAACATGCTAATTTTTTCCTGACAAGGTTGCAGTTACTTATTATCAGCAGATTAGACATGCGAACCCTCCCATCTCCTACGAATATGTAGGACTATTTTCTTCCATTTGTGCTATCTCTCTTAAATTTGAAATATCCTGTCTCAGAGTGATGCTGAAAAACTAGTTCATGCATTTATTACTTCTAGGCTGGACTACTGTAATTTATTATTATGAGGATGTCCTAAAATCTTGAAAAGCCTTCAGTTAATACAAAATGCTGCAGCAAGACTACTGACAAGGACTAGAAAGAGAGAGCATATTTCTTCTTTATTGGCTTCCCTTCACTCGCTCCCTGTTAAATCCAGAATTGAATTCAAAATCCTGCTCCTCACATACAAGGTCTTAAATAATCAGGCTCCATCTTATCTTAACTCTTAATCCTCCCTTAATTATGCTGCAATAGGTATAGGCTGCCTGCTGGGCTATGATGCATTGAGTATTTCTTCTTCAGTCATGTGTTAATAGACCTCTCTGCACTGAATCATACTTGTTATTAATCTCTGGCTCTCTTCCACAGCATGTCTTTTATCCTGTCTTCCTTTTCTCATTCCAACCAGTCGTGATAGATGGCCACCCCTCCCTGAGCCTGGTTCTGCTGGAGGTTTCTTCCAGTTAAAACTGAGCTTTTCCTTTCCACTGTGCAAAGTGCTTGCTCGTAGGGGGTCATATGATTGCAAACAGTAGCTAACAGTGGCAAAAACAGCAGCACTACTGGCAGTTTAGCATATTCCCAAGAGCTCCTGTACCGGAGCTTTTTCAAGGCCTACTGGCAGATTCCCTTGTCTGTGGAGTCCAAGGAAAAAACGGCCTTCTCCTCTTCGTATGGTTTGAAGCAATTTGTCACATTTGTGTTCGGCTTGTTTGTAGCCCTAGCCACCTTTCAACGCCTCATGGAACAGGTGCTGCACTGGTAAGCTGCTTATGCTGCTGCTTTTTTGGATGACATCATCACCTGAGCAGAGCATGTGCAGTAGGTGGCTGCAATCTTAATAATGTTAAGTCTTTTATTCTTACAGTTTTATGCTTTTGCATGCTTTTATTGTGACATTTGTTTGACTTGTTTCCGGGAGACTCCTCATCCCCCTTATCACTAATTTTACACAACTGTGAGAGTTCATGCCGTGGAAAGACTCTGCCATTGACAAATCATTGGCCTTCACCGAAGGCCAATAAGAGGGTCTGGCAGGAGGATTAGAGCGGAGTCATTGGGTGGTGAATGTTTTATTGTTTTTATATATTTACATTTTTGTTTTCCCTGGCCAGGGTTGTTTTATTGCTTGCTTTTATGTTAAATAAATTGTATTTTAGTTTTATTTCTCTACTGCCTTGGCTCCCCCACTGCTCTTCCTGTTTTAGACGGGTTTCCCTTCTGATAGAACCGTGTGACGAAAATGTCTCAAGTAGAATCTTTGGGTATCTGTACTTGTACTTGAGTATTTCTAACTGTTAATTCTTCTATTTTACAAGAATTTCTCTACTTTCTACTACTTACATTGTCAAAACAGGCTTGCTACTTTAGGCTTAAGATCTTTAAGGGGTTTTTCTCTTTATTATTGTAGTTGTCTCTTCAGCTCTGCCACCTCGAATCTGACCTCCTGTCTCTTTTTTGGTATCACTGTCTCCAAACCATACATTGTAGCAAGTGTCTTTACCACCTTTAAAATCTTCTGTGAAACACCATAGCAGACCTGAAACAATATTTGTGCTTTGCAGCATACTTTACTTGCACACGGTTGCTGAATGTACATACAAACGGCTGCAGCAGCCACTTCTCCAACGGTGACAGCAAAGCTGGTCCATCAGTAAGCAGTAGCGGCGTGGCATCGGGGCGGCGTGGCTCACGGGCAGCCAGGTGTGCATCCGGCACGCGGGGCCATGAGGTGCTCCGGCCTCAGGTGGAGGTGAGGCTGGTCTGGCCCTCATGCCGACCTCGGGCTTACATTCAGGCTCCGCTGGCACGGGAACCTCCATGTCCTCGTGCAACTCCTCCACTGTTCGGGGCTGAAGCAGCCCCTCGTGCGGCTCCTCCACGGCTCGCGGCTGGCGAGGTGCCTCGCGCGCCTCCTTCACCACCGGAGGCGTGGACCCACGCGTGCCTTCTCCACCACCGCCGGTAGGTGCTGACCCTTGCGCAGCTCCTCCACCTACGGCAGGCGTGGACCCTCGCACACCTCCTCCACCACTCCCGGCTGAGCAGTTCGCGGACACGGTAGTTGCTGCCCTCCTCCCTGGAGCCGGGACAGGCGCAGGCACCTGCCGGGCACTAGCCACTCCCACCCAAGGAGCGGAGACGTGTGCGGCTGCAGACTGCGTCTTGGCTGATCGCACCCTGGGGGCTGGCACGGGTGCCCCTTCACTGCCAACGCCGTTGGGGAACGCCGGTGGGAGCGGCAGCTGTGACGGCCTGGACCAGATCCGAGCGGCCAGCTACTCAATCAGTGCCAGATGACGCCCGGTCCGGTCTTTCAGCTCTTCCCGCCAGTGCCGTGACACACTCCCTCTTCTTTGCAGTGCATACTTCTACGTCTTTAGGCTCTCTTCCACTTGCTTACTACTACTCTCTATTCACACTGTTGCCAACAGTGTTGGTCAAGTTACTTGAAAAAAGTAATTCGTTACTAATTACTGATTACTGAATAGAATGTCAGCCCAATTCTATTTTTTATGCATTATCCATCACATAAAATTGAATCAAATGGAAACCTTCTTTTTTAAAATTGTTTTATGAGTTTTAATCTTTTAATTTCATGCACATTGCTTTAAGCAAAAATTAAATTATATGCAACTGTCTTTGACTTGAAGAAATTTGTTTAACATTTAAACCTATTTTCTGCATATAAAATACAATAATGTTTTGTGTTTACACTCACTCCTTTAAATAGATGTAAAAACACAGCAAAAAATAAATAAAATCAAAGATTCTCTAAGTCCTGTCTAGGGATGGGTATCGAAAACCGGTTCTT